AGCATAGGGACTCTGCTGTGATCAAAGAGTCTTGTATGACAGAGCAGCAGAACAGTCTGTCTGTTGAATTCATATAGATAAAAGGTTTTATTTTGTAGGTCTAATGTTTTCAGTACTCATGTTGTAGCACTTAAGAAACAGTTAGTAATTAACAACGCACACATTTTTATTCAGTACCTTGATATGAATTTGGGAATCAATATATTATCTGTAACTACTTCTGTATTTGTATGTTTCCATGTTCTTGGATATAATTTGCCTTTCTTTTCAAATCATTACTGGATTGAGTTTTTCTTGATGTGAGAATTCTGTGAACTGTTCGTACATGTGCTTTGATCTTCTCCTTAAGAATGGATTCTTCTTTTTGCAACCAAGTTCATATTTGATCTCTCTTTCTCCCACTTTCGTCCTAGCTTGGGAGGGGGAGTAGACAGGAAAGAGGTGGAGACCCAAAAGACTCACTCCCATATGGTGGGCAGAAGCCCACCAAACCAGGTTTGATAAGAGTATTAAAACACAAACATATTTTTGCCAGTATATTTGCTTGAGTATTGAATTTTATGAATGGGAGCAGATCTAAATACCATCTTAAAACATACTGTGGACAGTGCTGATGTTCCTTTTTTCCATCTGGTATAAAAGGGAAGCTGCAAACAATGGCAACCACGCCTTTGTCCTCCTGCTTTCCCATTCCTTGTCTGCATAATATGGAGCTAAAATAATTGCCAGTTCTGGCTTTAGCTTTTCTTGTCAAAATTGTCTTCTTTTTACCATCTGTTCCACAGTCTTACTGCTGCCCTAAACCTGCACTTTTTGATAACCGTGATCACTTGAAAGTCATGAACATATTGTAGCAAAGTCCATTTCTTTAGTTTTAGCTAAAAGTAAAATAAATCAATCCTGGAAACGAAAACAGAACTTTTTCATTTGTTGGAATAAAGACTTTTTTTAGTGTGGTTTCCTAAAGAAGGGAGGCTTATGAATTGAGCTGTTTGTCCATCTGCTTTTCAGTTCATCCTTAATAACTTGAACAATTTCATCCAGATTTGACAGGGAATAAAAGTCTTGAAGGTAATTGATGTCCTACAAGAAAACTGGAGGCTGGGTGGAGGAGAGAGACAAAAATAGGTGTCCCCACTGTCTGCAGTATAAGCTTAACAATAATCTGTGCTTAGGCCTTTGCTAGCCAAGTTGCAAGTGTGTACTGGCTGCCTAGGTACTACAGTAATCTCAGAGTTTCCAGAGCATGTTACTGAGTCTCGCTTAGGCAGAAGCTGAGGGGCCATGAAAGGGAGACAAGGGCATAGGGAATGTTGCTGGGGAACTGGAAATTTAGAGAAAGGAAATCAATGGAAATTGAGGTTATTGGAGCTATCGGTAGTTTTATGATTGATGGACCAACTTGCTTTCAGATTCCATACGGTACGGCAGTTTGTTGATTTCTGACTTCTCAGAGATTTGTCTGTCAGGGGTGCATCTGTGGTGTTTGCCTGGCTGTGAAATAATCACAATATGAGAAAGTATTTACGTTGTGCTCAGAGAAAGTCAGCACTCTGAAGTGGAGCCGGGCAGTTACTTTGGCAAATGTTTCATTCACTCAAAATGCTGTCTTAAGCTAGACAGAACAAGCTGTGAATTTAGATGGAAATAAGTCAATAGTTTCCGCTGGAAAAAAATGGAGAAGAATGCTGGAAAATACATTCCCATAATATTTTATTTTTACAGGCTCAAGTCATTAGTTGAATGAGCACTTTTAACAAAATCAGGATGGAAAATGCAGGGAGGGTGACTCCTATAATGGGGGTGTATTGGCATGGAATATAGGAGCCCTGCATTTGCAACGCTTTCTGCAGGAACTTGAATTTGTACAACCAAATTCATTATGTGTATCACTTGCAAAATCTCTTCCTATCTCTTGCATTTGACAGAAGTAGGGCACTGGACTTTTTCTCGTGTGCGCGTTTGGTAAAATAGTCATATTCCTGCATCCGTTGGTGACTGTGGGAAGGAAACACCACCTGGCATTATTCATTGCCTGTGTCTCAATTTTTCATTGGTTTCTTTTGTCCTGGGCAAGCGCTGGAGATCCTGAGCATACTTGCAGTCATGAGTCAGTGACAACTTCATGCTATTATTGTAAACAGCAACACGAACACTGTTCTTGCATGCGTTTTTTCACGGGCTTTGTCTTTCTCTCCCAACACTCCAGCCAAGGAATTTACAGAGCTTCTGAGTCAGCAATCAGCTGCCTCGAGACAAAACACGCAGGATACTGCAGACTTGCAGAATAGCCAACAAGGCATACAAATACCCTGGAAACCTGGCAAATAATTCTTGCCTGCCCTTGCTTTGCCTCCTGTAATTTCCATGATCTCTGACGTGTTGCTCACGGGTTCCAAGGGCTTTGGGTGTTTACATCAAGAATGCGGAGTTCTGGGGAGTGACTAATTGCAGTGACTGAAGCCTCTGTATTTGACCTGTGGGCATAACTGACTTCACAGCCTGCGTGAAATGGGATGTCGGCAGAACTGCTGTATAAATGTGCCGCTGGGTAAAATGACTGGCTTTTGCAGGTTTGTCTCCTGGCTTGGCAAACCTTGAACACAAAGCAGTAAGTTCCTAGAACGAAAGTGGGTTGGATTTTAACTTCAGGATCTCTCTGAGCGGTGGAGAACCAGTGCCGCTTCACTCCTGTGGTGCAAGAGTGCAATAGAAGCAAGAGTAAGGAGTGAAACCTATGTTGTCCTTACATCTGGATATATCAGTAATGGACTGTGGGCCTAATAGACTTAAATTGCCACTCCACTGAATTTAGGTCTTATAATTTATATTGCTTTTTCTTAGGAAGTGTCAGTCACCTGGAACACTTCTGTAAAGTGAGTGTTTGGGTGGTAGAGTGGGGTGCAAGAGGTGGAGGAAACATAACGCAAAATAGTATTCAACTTGCAACGTTGTGCTGATTAATGAGGCATATGGCTTTAGACTGTAGGTGTTTCGTTGCATCTGTATTACACAGATGCACTGAAATTACTTCTTCAGCTTAAGAGGTGATTTGTTGGAGCTCTTTATAACATTCTTCTTGAGAACAGAAGAGGAGACGCAGGCTTAAAGCACAGTGTCTTAGACCTCTGCAGTAGTGCAGTGGTTACCCTGAGGTGCAAGCCTGGAGCATGTTTCAAGCTTCACAACAGTGAAGTTAAGATTAAAAGTAAGGAAAGCAGTTTGTTCCATCCTGCTTAGTGAGCAGTACTGATACGGACATAGCATCACTAGCAGCCAGTTAGAAAAACAGCTTCATGTGTGCCGAGTCTTCTAAGGCAGTTGCCCTGAAAAAGTCAGAATCACATTCTCCGGTATAACCCGTTGTTGTACTGTGGCTTCTGTAGGAAGTTTTTATTTTTATTTTTAATAGCAAACAGTTTGTGGCTGTATGTAAAGGTTTCCAGGTCGCCTTTGCTATTTCTAAACATAAGCAATAAATACCATGTTAGGGTGAAATGCAGGAGTGCCCAAATAAACTGCTGCAGAGCTGTCATACGGGATGGGAAGAGACATGAGCTGTAATGTTTGACTTGGCTTCCTGTCTGCTGGAAGCGGAAAAGAGCTGGTGAGAATCTAAAAGGTTTTATCCAAGTCCACATATTTCCTTTTTTACCTTAATACCCTTTGCAAAAAAAAAAAAAAAAAAAAAAAAAACCAAACCCATCTGACAAAAAGCACCTCAGAAATGCTTTCACTTCCATCGTTCCCGTATATGTTCCCATGCTGCCCTCCTATCTGAAGACAGAGAACTAGTCTTTCTTAGAGAGCAATCTATTGTATGTATGTACTTCATATTATCTATAAAAGGAAGAAAGAGCTTTATTATATATAAAAGAAAGAGAGAGGGAGAGAAAATATCTATTCTTTAAACAAAATCTGCTATCTGTGATCCAAACAATTCATTCTGTAGGTCTGCAGGCTGCTTCTGAGGGATCCTAGAAAAGCAACTAAGAGTAGCAGACCTCCTGCTAGCATATTTAATCTGCTGAGAAGCCCAACTACCACCTAAAATTTTATAGGGGCCTGCATATCAAAAGAAGCTGAAAACCACAGAATAAAGGAACTACTATGAGAATCTCGCGAGGATCATGTATCAGCCACGTTTTGCTCTTAAGCTGTTTACTTACTCACAGGAATATATACATAGTCTCTAGGTAAGGCAAATGTTTATACTGCTTGATGCAACACAGGCTTTTTTTTTTTTTCAGTCTTGACATCTTAAGCATTTGATTGCTATTAGCAGGCTTAACTTCTTTCTAGGATTGCAGTAGCCGTCACTGGGTTTGTTATGCTACTGGACAAAAGCAGTGTTTGCAATGACTCTGATGGAGATATCAACTTGTGCTATGCCATCCTCTTTCCTCTTCTCTATTTACCATGAGCAAAGACACATGTCCTTTTATAATGAAGGAACCCAAACTTATTTTACTGGTGGAATACCAACTCCTAAGGTACTTTGTGGTAGTAGTGTTTTTAAGACCAGCATGTAACCATTGCACATAACCATGCAGTTATCACAGTGACTGCTACGTTACTAATGCTATCTTTTGTTTTAAAACCTCTGCTTACTTACAAACATCACATAATATCTGCCAGTTTACTTGTAACTTCTCTGCTGTTCATGTGAAATGAGTTTTGATAAAACTTTCTAGGGACTGGCTCAGGTAAAGTATTTTGTGGTTTAACAGAGGCGAGATGTCCCACTGTCTTCAGCGAGGCTCAGTGAGCCTTGGAAGGCTCTGCTTCAGTCAGCTTGGGCAGGACTCCTTGGGTATTGATCGGTGGACTTATTTAGGACTGATGCTTTATTAGTTACTGAGAATCTGGGCT